AAGTCAGCCAGAATCCAGAGCAGGGGGTTTCAGAGGCAGGATAGATGTCCCCCCACAGCCCCCGGCCCCAGCCCCAGCCTTGCTGATTATGCTCCCACCTCCATAATCCTGGAGGCACTATTCCCGGCCTCCATGCCTTTGAGCATATCGTTCCCTCTACCTGCAATGCCTGTCTCCTTCACATTAACAAATTTAACTCAGCTCAGACCTCATTTCCTCCGGGGAGCCCTCCCCGCCCTCACCCAGATGGGCTGGGTTGGGCCCCCTTTTGTGTTGCCATAGCACCCTGTGCATGTATCTGTTGGAGCACTGCACCATGGCACTTATCTGTTACCTTTTCGCCCATCTTCTTAAGGGAAGGAAGAGGAACAGCTGAGAGTGTGCCTCACCTGTTTGACGAGTCTGGGGCCCACCCCATAGGGTTCTGGCGGAGGCTGAGGAGTGGGAGAATGATGATACACAGAGAAGGCACCCTCTCTGCTCTTACCTCATGTGTCTGTGGGTTCTCTACGATGCAGCCGTAGTTGAGGGACTGTGTCCTGTTAGCCTGAAAGACAGACACACACTGAGACAGGGACCAGCCTGCTCCAGGGCAGCAAGGTCTGTTTTCTCTTTCTTGTTTTCCCTCCCCTATAGCACCTGGCACGCAGCTCTGCAGCTCCGCCACTGACAAGCCTTCAGCTGGGGTGAGAACTGACAGCTGCCCCCTCCCCCGCCCCACTTCTTAGCAGCCAAAGGGCTCAAGGGTTCTCTCCACCACCACCTCCATTACTTCTGGGGTTTCTAATGCCCCTCCTTCCTGACGCCCATTCCCACAGCAACTCCCCACTTCCCCAACACCCTGCATTCCAGGAACCGCTCTGGACCACCCCCTCGACGCCCCCCATCCCTCCAGAGCCCCTCACCGTGGTGCCCAGGAGCAAGAAAGGGTGAGGCTGCTGTCTGTGAGCAGCCAACATAGCATTCAAGGGGAAGTCGGAGCACACATCAGCGTTGAGCACGAAGAAGGCCTCAGGGCCGCCAGCTAGGATCTGGTCCCGGAAATGGTAGAGACCACCTCCTGTGCCCAGAGGGGCAAATTCCTGCAGGTACCTGTCCCCAGGGACCCCAGAGCCAGTTCAGTGAGATCAGAGGAGACAGACACCTTGAGCCTGGGAACCAGCTCCTCCTATTCCCAGGATACACCTGCCCACGGCCCACAGAGAAACTCAATATATACAGAGATTCAGGAATGCTCAAATAAGAAACCTCTTAGTGTGTGACGGTGACTTCTGGCAAATGTTGACTCAACCCACTCCCCAGAACTCAGAGAACTCGGATGCCTAGGGCTCCCCACCCCCATGCAGCACATGCGCAGAAACACCTGACCTGACCGGAAGGTTAAACTCCTGCTGGGCAGCTTCTAGGAACCGGGTAAGCGGCTCATCAGGTTGGTAGAAGCCAATGAGCAGAATCTCCTGCATCCCAGGGACCTGAGGACAAGGGAGGAGGTTAAGAGAAAAATAATATCTTATAGGAAGGAATGGCAGGACCTGGTACTGGCCCTAAATCCAGGAACCACAGTTTCGGTCTCAGCTGTGGCCCTGGGTACTCACTTTACCATGCTGGCCTGATTTCTGCCCTGGAAAATGGGGAAGTTAGAGAGTCTCAGGCCCTGATCTTTTAATCTTTTATTATGCTATTGGGTTGGCCAAAAAGTCTGTTTAGTATTTTTCCATAAAATAAAAAACACATTTTTCATTTTCACCAATAACGTTATTGATTGGAGATTTAGAGTATGTCGGCTATCTGCAGCATGAAGTAACATTAATTGTTCTCAATTAGTGTCTCAATCTGATAGCTATCAACTTCACCTGGTCTACCGTGGCGCATCATCCAGTGAGAAATCTCCAGCATGAAACTTCACAAACCACTTTTGACATGTTCAGTCAGTCACAGCATGTTCTCCATACACTGCACAAATCTTTGTCTATGTTTCAGTTGCGTTTTCACCTTTCTTGAAATAATAAAGCCTAACATGCCAAAAATGTTGCGTGTTTTCTTCCATCTTCAATATTAAAATAGCTACACAAAAATTTACCAATTTTGATGTCTTTTTTAAATGCACGCCAACATGACCACCATCACAATACAATCTAACAAAATTGTTTTAAATGATCTCTGGCTGGTGTGGCTTAGTGGATTGAGCACTGGACTGTGAAGCAAAGAGTCTCCGGTTCAATTCCCAGTCAGGGCGCAAGCCTGGGTTTCAGGCCAGGTCCCCAGTGGGGGGCGTGTAAGAAGCAACCACACATTGATGTTTTTCTCCATCTCTTTCTCCCTCCCTCCCCCAAAAATAAATGAATGAATAAATAAATAAATAAATAAATAAAGTCTTTTAAAAAATTTCAAATGAAATTAAAGACAACTAAGCGCTACATCTTTCAGAAAAAAATAACAAACGTTTTGGCCAACACCTCCCTACCCCCACATCTGAAGAAAACCTCACCCTAGGAAAAATTTTGTCTTTTAAAGGATAATCCATTCATTTCCCTCATATTTACTATCTGTCAATTTGAGCTTGGGATCCCCATGCAGAAAGAATACCACCAAGTGCCTACATTGTGCTAGTTACTTTGCAAACATCATCTCTAAGCTTCACAACCCCACAAAGCAGGTCTAATCACACCCACTTTACCAATAAGGCAACTAAGGCCCAGAAAGGGTGAGAAATTTGCTCAATTCCTTTTAGCAGGCAGAGACTGGACTCAAATCAAAACCTGGCCAGTCCCAATATCAAAAGCAGTAAAGAAAGTAGCTCCATAGTGAGTAAGGGTAGTATGATTCCATGCTGTGTTATCATGAAGGTTTCCCATGCTATGGCTTGAAGTGGTCTCTAAGATTCCTGCCTAATCTCACACTCCATGCTTGAAATACAGGAGTGAAATCTGAGCAAGAAGAGGCCAGATGACGGGCTAGATTAGAAGACAGCAGGACAGCTGCAGTGCACAACTTGGGGGGAGGGGCATTCACGGCGTCATTTGTAAATGGTGGGCCTTAAAGTTACACCTGATGGGAAGAGATCATGGTTGGAAACGGGGGAAATAACGGCATGAAGGAGATGAGCAGGAAGTGGAGTGCGAGAGGGGAGCCTGCTGGGTTACCTGGGCACAGGCCTCAATGTGGTGCTGGATCATAGGAACCCCTGCCACTGGAAACAGGGGTTTGGGCACCTCAAAAGACAAAGGCCTGAAGCGAGTCCCTGAGAGAGGAAAGAGAAGCACATTTCAGCTTTATGCCTCCCTTTGCCCTACCCCCACCAATCACTCCAGCCCAGCCTGGTCCCCCCATTTCCCTGGCTCCTCACCCTTTTGAGGGCCTCCAATCAGGATCACAGCTTTAAGCATGGCAGCAACTGCTACCTAAACCCAAAATCCCAGAGAGTTAGGCTCATATCTTGCACCCCAACCCAGGAACACCACTCGTACCCAACCAAACCCTAAACCCAAAATAGCAACACTGAGTCCTCTCTTTCCCAGGATGTAAATCCAAAATTCAGTGTAGTCCCTCCCTGAGCACACCAGCACACAAAGCTCACACATCTCAAATCCCATCCTAATTCCAGTCAGCCCTCAAACTCCCCAGTGATCCCTCCCAAATTCTGAAATCCACACCCCACAATTGATCCCTAACAGACTTCCCCCTGGCCACAAACTCAGCAAGCTCAGAAACTTAGCAACAGACCTCCTTCTCTTACCCCCAACCTTAAAAAACCAAAACCCCAAACCACTGATTCTCCAATTGGTCCATCCTCACTCTGGATATTAAGCCCTGAATCAAAATAGTGAACCCTGATACTGAACCTCAAATCCTGAGAGAGCTCCAAATATGTAATTACAGTCCTAAGAGTGAACTTCAAGTATTAAACTAACATTGATCTGCATTTGACAAATCCAAACCCTAGAACTACGCTCAACCTAAATCCTAAAATTAACCCGAATCAAAAGACAGTCTCCCTTGGCATCCCAAACACAATATACGAATCCCCGGAGTCCCAGGACTGACAAGTGATGAATCTTTGGATTCAGAGGGCTGATTGCTGACTCTATGAACCTCACAACCGACAGTCTAATAAACCCTAACGCGCATCCAGGGTTGTGCATGCAGCACACCACTCGACGTGCGGAACGCCGCTGGGACCTCCGAGCCGCCCTCCGTCTAGGAGCCGCCCTGCCCTGTACCCCTTCGCCCCCCCCCCTCCATCAGATCCTTTTACCACTAGTCCCCTCTATTCCAGCTCTGCCGCCAGCTACTGCTTGCTCCTTTCCGTGTACGTGTCTTCTCTCAATTCGCGAGAACTTCGCAAAGTCTGCCGGGAATTGTAGTTCTTAAGTTCCTTCCCCCCCTTCTAACTGAGAGGTGGAACTTGAGGGAGAACGTGGGGGCGTGGCCATGGGCTTAAGGGGGCGGGTCTAAGTCAGAAGAAGGGTGGAGCCTGAGCCGCAGGGGCGCCGGAACCTGATTAGGACCACGAGCGGTCTGGAAGCGGGCCCAGGGTAGCATCCAAAGTAGAGGACTAGGTCTCAGGGAGAAGCGAGGCTGGAGACAGAAGGGGGTGTGGTCATCCTTGAAACGGACGTGGCCAGTGCGCCAACCCCCCACGAGAGGGTGAGGCTTGAGGGATACAGAAGAAGAGAAGGCGGAGTCCTAGACGCCTCTGCCCCTCCCGCTGGCACTGAAGGACCTTCCCACGGTGACAGCAGCCTATCTCAGACTTACTGTCTGTAAAGTAAGGCACTGGACTAGGCACCCTCCAAACTTCCCGGGGACCCCAACGTTTTGTGACTTTGGTATGCGGAATAAGTGTGTGTGCGGGTGCCGGGGAGTGGAAAACTCGACTCAGAAGAAGAGAGTAGGCGCGAAGGGTCAGAGGGAGCAGTTTTATTAAGCAAGGTGGAAGGGGGTTGTTGTTCCACCGACCCCTGGGCTTGGAAACAGAGCGAAAGTTCCGAGGTTCCCTTTCAGGCCACGTCCACGTGAGCAAAGCTCTGATCCCTGCCCAGGCAGTTCTCCACGTACACCTCGTACTTGCCACTGTCCTGGGGTGTGGCCCGGCGGATGGTCAGTGTAGTGGTGGTAGTGCCGATCTCGAAGAACACCCTGACAGGGGAGGGAGAGGGGCGGGGCCGCAGGTCGAGTTACGCGTTCCGGAGACCCGGCCACTTAGCCTGCTCTGCCCTCATCCCTCCCCCGCAGGTTTTCTGGGCCACCTCCGGCCCAGGCTCCTGGGCCAGGCCCTGCCCTTGCAGCAGGTCCCGGCCCTCGCCTGTCATCCTCCTCGACGTCCTCCCCGTCCTTGGTCCAGCCCACATCGGGTGCAGGCTCGCCCAGGATCTCTGCAGTCAGCATCACCGTGGCTCCTTTGAGCGCCTTAGTGTTATCCGGTCCCTTCTGAATTTTCGTCGGGACTAGAAGAAGGGAAAGGGAATGCGACCCAGTAAGGGTCCTAAAGGTAAGGCGGAGGGACATTACCCTCCCAGCTAAAACCAGGCCCTAAATACGAGATGGATTGAAACTCGCAGTTACCTTGGGCAAGTCTTTAGCTCCTCTGGGGCTTCAGCAATTCAGCTGTTAAATGAGACTAATCTCTGCCCCTCCTACTTTTTAGGATTGAATGGAAGTCAAAAGAGATACTGTGACCCTTGCCGGGTGGCTCAATTGGTTAGAACACGTCCTGATACACCAAGGTTGTGGGTTCAGTTTTTGGTCAGGGTACATCCAAGAATCAAACAAAGAATGCATTAGTTAGTGGAACAACCAATCAATCTCACTCTCCCCGCTTCTGCTGTTTCTAAAATCAATCAGTTTTGGGGGGGGGGGGGAGGTAACAAGAAAGAGAGAAAGATACTATGGGTGAAAACTCAGGAATATTCGCACGGCTCGGGGTACGTTGGAGACAGTTTCTGGTAGTGGAAATTGCCCTGGAAGACCAGGGCGCCGGAAGACCAGGGCTCTCTCTAACCCTGGCTCTACCTCTGGATCGCTGTGACCTTAGAGCCCTGAAATCTAGTGACTGAAATCTATAGCGAAATTCTTAGTCTGGGTGAGCGATTGAAACCCAGAGCGGACTTTTTAGCCGAGGTGGGACGGGATCCCAAGGTAGCGAAGGACTACTCAGCCCCTGCGGCGCTGCGCCCCGCTTTGTGCCTCGGGCTGTGGCCGGGGCTGGGAGCCGCATCCTCCGGACTCGGCTAGGCCCAGCGATAACCGCGCGGCTGAACCCGGCTGCGGACGCCCGAGGGGTTGGGGGGGCGGTGCTGCTCTGCGCTGTGGCACTGCCCCCGCAGCTTGCGTACCTTCCACGAGGATGCGCGCCGAGTCGGAGCACTGGCCGAAGGGGTTGGTTACGTTGATGCTGTACTGACCCAAGTCCGCCAGCTCTCCGTCGCGCACCACCAGTGCGACTACGTCAGGGTCCTCAAAGACGTAGCGATACTTGGGCCCGTCGCGCAGCTCCTTGCCGTCCTTGCACCAGCGAATGAATGGGTCCCGAACAGCCGAAATGCGGCAAGTCAGCTTGGCCGCGCTGCCCTCGATCAGCACCACGTCCTTCAGCGGCTCCAGCACTCGCGGCGGCCCCTTCTCCCTAAGCTCCTTCCGGGACCTACGCGCGGGCAAGGTCAGGGCCCAGAGCTCCCGTGACACTGTTCCCACCCGCCCGCAGCCTCGTCTGCCCGCACGCCCTCCCCTGCCCGCCCCCTCGGCCCACTAGGCTCTTAAACACCGGGGATGGGGAGGGAAGGGGGCAGTTCCTGAATCGTTACCCTAATAAAATGATCTACTCTTGTCGCCTGCCCTTCTACACCTCGGTAACCTCTCTCGCCTAAGCCCAGTGGCCCTAACAGTCCATGGCGCTGTGCTCAGCATCGCCCTTCCCCAAAGCAGGAACGCGATTCTGCAGCTCCAGTTCCCTTTCTTCAGAGGGCTCCAGGGCTCCCCCTCACCTCTGGCCCCGGTAAGAGGCCTGGATGCGAATGGCCGCCTTCTGGACTTGGGGGTCGTTGGTATCCAGGGTACACTCCGGAGGCGGTGCCGTAGGCGCGGGGTTTTTGGCTGGAGCTGCTTTGGACATCCGGGGAGCGGAAAACAAGCACGCGGGTATAGGCTGACCCAGAAACTGCGACCTCCCGCCTTGGCCTCCGGATTAAAAATATCGCCGGGATGAAAGTGTCTCGGGCTGGTCTGAAGATCAGGACTCACTGTGGGGGCAGGGGGCGTCGACTTTGAGACTTAGGTCTAACTAGCTGGGCAGCAGGCGGGTATGGAGCCCTTCCGGATGGTATAGTAGGGGCGCGCAGGCAGGTGCTCAGCCCTGGGCCCTGATTTTATACATCGCTCCTCTCCTTGCCTTGTTTGGTGTGATTGCCCCAAGCCCCCCGGGACCCCAGCCCCCGCCCCCTGACCCAAGTAGGCTCCCCTTATTTAGCCCGAGGATGCTTGGGATGCTGGCTCAGCCTCTGGGACAGCCCAGGGGTGGGGGTGGGCGAGACTCGAGCAGCTCTGGGGTGCAACACGCGTCAGTGCCTGGACAGCTGGGCAGCTGGTCGCGGCCCCATCTCCTCCCAAGGCAGGGGGATCCATCCCCCTGCTGGGAGGACCAGGGGAGGCCCCAAGCCGACAGGAGGTTCAGCTCCCACCCGGGCAACTTCACACTCAGGTCAGTCCCTGGACAATGGAACAATGGACCGTTCCCGAAACACAGTTGGTTAAGGGGTGCGAGTGTTTGGGGGGGTGTCCCTGAATGAAGCCAGAAGAGCGGAGGACTTGACTGTCCATCCAGCCAATTATAAGATGGCCACGTGGCTGTTAGGACCAATCCGGAAGCGCCTTAACCCCCGCCCCCCCATCCCGCCCCAGAGTCTACGTTTGTCATTTCCGTCTTATGCCCCCTGGCGGTAAACTGAGATAAACCTAGAGGGGACCGCAAAGATTTCTGAGAGCAGCATCCCTTCCTGCCACCTCCAGCTCCACTCCCTCTCCTCCAGGTGACATGGCAGGGTGTGGCTGGGCTGCACTGTCTCTGGAGATGGACATTAGCACTGAGTCAGCGACTTTAGGCCGTCCCAAGCCCAGGTGGGGGCAAAGCTGGTGCATAGGGGCCTCAGAGCACTGGTGTGGAGGGGTAGGTTAGCTGCTCCGGGACATGCCTGGAGTCCAGCCCGCCCAGGCCAAGGAGAGAATTGCTTCCATTCGTTGTGACTGCGTACCTGGGTATGGAGCTCTGTCACCCTCTGATCAGAGCAATTTTGACACAGCTCTGCTGACATAAATTACCTTTGCTCCTCCGGGTTTAGAGCAAGCAGTTCACATGCCATTTCCAATGGAGATGGGAAAAGAGCTCAAGATCAGAGGGGGGATGGGAGAGGAATTTGACCGTTTATCAAGATATGAGTTCAGGCACCTCATTTTTATATGAAAACACTTGCAGTGAGTAGGGAATTTCAAATTCTCACAGGCAAACTGCATATCTTCATCATTAAAATGACAGCTGAGCAAGGCAAGGCATCTGTGTGGTCCCTTCCACCTGCTTTAACATCCTATTACTTCATAACATTTTTTTTTTAAATTTTTTATTGCTTTGAGAGAGAGAGCCATTAATTTGCTGGTCCACCTATTTATGCTTCCATTGGTTGATTCTCGTATGTGCCCTGACCAGGGATCGAACCCAAAACCTTGGCTATCCAACTGAGCTGCCTGGGCAGGGCAACATCCTGTTATTTTATGATGGTGGGGTTGCCTCTTCCCCAAGACCCTGGGAAGCCAGGCAGCCTGGGCTGGGCTCGGGGGAGGGTGGTTTGGGCTCCAGCCAAGATGCCCTCAAACTCCATCAGCAACACACCAGTGCCAGTTCTCTCTACTCACAGTAGAGGTTTCATTCTTGTCACTTTGTCAAGAACAGAGTTTTCAAGGGGTGAAGGGGGGAGGGCAGTCCCTTTGGACCCAAGGAGACCTAGTAGCTCTCCCCTCTCCCCAACTCAGGGCAAGGCTGCTCAGTCCTAGAACCCCGTGACCCTTCTGCAGCCCTGCAGCTGGAGTCAAGGTGCCTTCACACCCAGCAGACCCTCTAGCTTGCCGTGGGGATTAGAAGGTCCAGGCCGAGTGTCCCTGGGGCCTAGGAAAACGCTTGTCTGCAGCACTCTCACAGCAGACACCCTGACCAGAGAGCTCACAGCTGTCCTGTGCAGCTGGCGCCCTGCCTGGTGCTCTAACACCGAGAGCAGGGGCCTGGGCTTGTCTGGTCTCCTCTGCTGCTCTTCACACCACCTGCTCACACAACCATCACGCTAAAACCCCTCTGCTCCAGCGGTCAGGACCAGAGCTGGGAGGTATTGGGGAAAGAAGGCTGGGCCAGCGTTGGGGTGTGGGCCAGTCCATTTCAGAGCCTAGCATCCTCCAAGGTGTGCTGATGGAACACGTGAAAGAGGTGGGGGCCGCCAGAGTCTGGTTAGAGGGTGATGGTGGGGATTCAGTGGTCCTGCCAGGACTGTAGAAACTTCAGAGGGAGAAGCAGACCGAAGACTCTCCTCCCAGTAGGAATGAGGGAGAAGGGCGGGGCCAGGAGGGTCAGGGAGGGAGGAGGAAGGCCCGAAGGTGCTAGCTGGCATGCCTGGGCTCTCACTGGCGCAGAGAAGGCTGAACTACTCCTGTCCCAGCACCCGGCACTCCCAGCCATCTCTCCCCATAGACCACACACAGGTCCTGCTGCTTGCTGTTTTTATTTCCCTTGTGACAGACAGACAGACAGCTGCACAGACAGCTGGTTGGCTGGGGGGATGGTCAGGACAACATGAGCAACTAGGATTGGATGGAAGGGAAACTTCATAAAAGTCAATAAATAAATAAATATGAATGGGAAGAGGGGCGAAGGTGGGAACATCCTTGGGCTGGCATGGAGGCCAGAGCTGCATCCACTGGGGCAACGGGAGAGCGCTGGCTTGAGCGACCACTGCTCCCCGCTTCCAGCCTCCTTGTCTTTTTGTCTTCACTTCTTCCTCCCGGATGCTGGCGGCTGGCCCGCCCCGTCTCCACCCGAGTCCTCTCTCCTCTCCCTCCCTGCCCTGGCTGCCCTCTCTCACACGCTGCCTCTGGCACCCTGACACTGTCTTCATGTCCTGTCCCTGCTTCCCTGACACTCACTTCCAGCCCATGGCCTTGACACCCTGGGCTCCTTCCTTTTCCGCCGCTTCAGCCACTCCACCCTCCTCAGTTAATTCTCCTCCAGATGCACTGTCCCCCACCCCCAGAACCTTCCTAGAGTCTCCCCTCCCTTTCTCTCACTTCCCCATTCCGTTTTTGCCCCTCTTCCTGCTCCCGACTCCACCCAGCCTGGCCGATGAGTCTCCAGCTCTGGCTCGGGCCTGGTGGCATTGGCCGAAGCCCAGGGCCTCTGTCCCCGCAGGTCCATGAGGTAATAGCCCGGCTGGATGTTGTTGCTGGTGGTGTCCGAAGCCCTGAGCCCGCCCGGCTCAGCGTGGGCCCTGGAATGTCCCGCCGCATCAGCGGGAGCCCCGAGTGGAAGCCCGCCCGGGGCCCGGCTGTGGTCCGAGCCACTAGGGGCTGCCTGGGTAGGAACGGAGCAGCACCTTGTGACGGGTGGCGGCCTCAGCCCTGCGACGCCGCTGCTCACCCAGGAACTCCTTGAGCCGGTTGGTGGTGAAGGTGAGTGTCTGGCGGCGCAGCTTCATCAGGTAGGCGTCCTGCAGCCACGGGTGAGCCAGGCAGTCCTGCAGGGAGGGCCGGCTCCTGCCAGGCCCAGCCAGGTGGTGAGCCTGGAGGGAAGGCCTGGAGCAGGGCGGGGCTCTGTCCTCCCGTGTGTCCGAGTCCCAGTCCTGGATTCACCCCTACTGAGTGACTCTGGGCAGCTCTGGGGCTCAGTTTCCCAGGCTCTGGAGTGGGGATAGTGATTCTGCTTATGTTATAGGGCTGTTACAGCTTTTCAATGGTGGGTAGTACACCATTTAGTAGCAGTAGTAGCAACCAGGTATTACTGGAAGCAGGGGAGGAGTTGGGGGGGGTCTCAGGCATGAATTGGGCCAGAGCAGCCCGAGGCCAGGGACAGGTGATGCTGGGGGTGTTTCCGGTGTGGGGCCCACTCACCAGGGATGTACTGAGAGGACTTTTCGCAAGAAGAGGGTGGCGCTTTGGGAGGTGTTGGGGTACAACTGGAAGGCATCAAAGCGGCCCCCCACAATACGAGCTTCCGTTTCCTGGGGGTCTGGCTCATAGAACGGGGAGCGACCACTGAGCCTGTGGTAGAGACAGTTCAGTTGACACATGTGAACGGAGAGTCAACTCATAGGTTCACGGGGACATTAGCGTGGGGTTTTAAGGGGCACAGCATTCATGGACGGGGTACTGGAACCTAGGCACACATGTATGTGTGCAAGCATGCACTGTGCATGTTCACGCATGCTGGGGAGGTGCAGAGCGGGGAGACGGTATGGGCAGAAGGCGGGTCCTGGGAGCACTCACATGATATAAGTGAGCACGCCTGCTCCCCAGATGTCTGTGGCAGAGCCGATCGGGTCTCCCTTCACCATCTCAGGAGCTGACAGAAGACAGAGCACAAGTTGAACCAGTTTCCTGGTGGCAGGGAAGCGGGGAAAAGGCTGGGGCGGCCCCTGGGGGTTTGAGGAGCAGAATAATGTCCGGGTCACCAGGCCATGGGTCTGACCAGAGCAGCAGGCCTGGATGACAGCAGCCAGGATGGGAGCAGCGGTGGCCTCCAGGGGACAGGTGGGGCCCCTGAGGAATCAGCCTCGGCACTAAATGGTGGAGGTCACCTGAACACAGAGTTGCTGAGAACCAGGGACGCTGGCTCCCCACTCCCTTGGATCAGCTCTGACGTAGGGTGCCCCCTCACAGTGAATACGACCAGCACAAAGATTAAGAGTCTCTGAGATCAGTCTGGCTGGCTCCAATCCCAGGCCTGCCCTGCTAAGCTGTAGGACCCTGGGCTATGCACTAAACCTGTCTGGCTCTCCATTTCCTCATTTGTAAAGTATGGTTTCAGACTAACTCTAAAGGATAGAGATAATGAACATAAAGTATTCAGCAGGTAGCTAAATGGTA